AGGCAAGTGTGAATGTTGCAATTGACCACCTTGATTAGCATCGAATTGCCTTGTAGCTTCAGAGACTGGCTGATTGCTGCCTGGGCGGATGCTGCTATAGATGTGGACAAAACATCACGAGAGAATGCTTCAGGAACATGGCCATACAGCAACACACAGCAACCCAGTGATTCCAGCCATGAAAGCCTTCGACAACACAGTGTCCTAAATTGTTTATCCTGTAAAAGGTGCTGCTTTATCTCCTCTTCTTTAGCTAACCTGCTTTAAGGCACGTCCCCTGAGAAGGTCCCCTTCCTTTATAGACCAGTTCTGCAAGTCCATAAAAATCAATAAATAAGAAAGCTGGAGGCTATAACTGGGAATGGTTCCATGGTGAAGAAACTGTGGCCCCCACCTTCTTTCTGCGGTGAAATGCAAACTGTTTTGAATCCAGGCAACTTTATCGGTTTAGGGCATGTTGTAAACAGGACAATCTATTTGTCATAGGCATTGCTCTGTAGCAAGAGAGGGCCCCTGTTTGTTTAAGGGCTGTTCATAGACCCGAGAGACCTAGTATCACCAAGCAGCTAAGGGAAAGAAAGCCAAGAAGCCCCAAGTTCAAGTCTCAGCTTAGTTGGCAACTCACTGGGTGGTCTTAGGCAAGCCTCATTCAGGAAATCTGGGTAAGTAAAGAAAGTGAAGTCATAGTAGTGTTTGTGCCCAAAAGGTAAAAAATAGCCTTCCTGATAAGCAGAAAGATGATTCTGAGTTTCTGATAACCACTATGTTATATACTGAAAAATAGATTTTGAGTCTTCCTTGTCATTGTGATAGAATTTTTAGTTCTTCCAATTGAAATGTAGGGTGATCCATAATTAAATACATAGATTCCTTCCCCACCCCATTCTCTTTTAGCTCAACCATAAAACCTATACAGAGTAGACTCTCAGTTAATTGATATCCATAGAGATTGGTAGATGCTGGATATATGTTGTTTCTGGCTGCTTGAGAGTTGCTATTAAAAATATGTCCCATAGTATATATGCTAGGCATAGGCAAACTTTCTAACCTGGGGGTCGCATGGCGGGCTGGTGAGGGTTGGGCGGGCTGGGAGGGAGGGGGGCGATGGTGGATTGGAGAGAAAAAGTGTATCCATGAGACCTCATATTGCCTACTCCTGATACCCAATCCTGTATCAGAAGTAGGCAATATGGGGGGGGGGGGGGGTTGGACTGGATGACCCTCAAGGGCCATCCAGTTCAACTCCCTGCCATCCAAGAAGGCACAATCAAAGCACTCCCAATAGACAGCCTCTGCGGAAAAGCCTCCAGAGAAGGAGAATCCACCACACTCTGAGGCCTCCTATGCCACTCTTCAAGAAGTTCTTCCTAATCTTTTCAGTCGATTCTCTTTCCCTGCCATTTGAAACCATTGTTCCCTTGTGCCCTGGTCTCTAGAGAGGTAGAAAGTCAGTTTTCTTCCTCTCTCCTTCTCAATGGGACACCCTTCAAAATCTTGAAACATGGTTCTCATGTTCCTCTCTACTGTCTCTTCTCCCAGCTAACCATCTTCCAGAAGGAAAGGAGAAAGGAAAAAGAGAAAGAAGGAGGAAGGAAAAAGAGAAAGAAGGAAAGAGGGAAGGAAGGATGGATGAAAGGGTGGAAGAGAAGGAAGGAGGGAAGGAGAAGAAGGAAGGGAAGGATGGAAGAAGGAAGGATAGAGGGAGGGAGAGAAGGAAGGATGGTGAGAGAGAGGAGGGCCTGAGAAAAGAGCCCAAGGGGCTGCATCCAACCCCTGGGCCTGGGTTTGCCCATACCTGATTGACATATACCATGTCATAAACTCTGTATTCACTTGATATTAATATTGAAATAAAGTAATTTCAAGCAAATGAAGACAAATAAAGGCTAACTTAACACTGTTTTATTGTTTTATTAAAACAGCTTTTTAAAATTTAAGCTATTCTTTATTCGATTTTCTTGCTGGTTGCTCAAGAGTTCCAGTAACTGAGAGTCTACTGCAGGGGTCTTCAAACTTTTTAAACAGAGGGCCAGGTCACAGTCCCTCAAACTGTTGGCCGGCCGGATTATAATTTGAAGAAAAAAAAAACATGAATTAATTCCTATGCACACTGCACATATCTTATTTGTAGTGCAAAAAACCCCCACTTAAAAACAATACAATAATAGAAATGAAGAACAATTTAAACACATATAAACTTATTAGTATTTCAATGGGAAGCATGGGCCTGCTTTTGGCTAATGCGACAAGGTTGTTGTTGTTGTTGTTGTGTGCTTTCAAGTCATTTCAGACTTAGGTTGATCCTGAGTGAGGGCTGGGTAAATGACCTTGGAGAGCTGTATTCGGCCCCCGGGCCTTAGTTTGAGGACCCATGGTCTACTGTATATACTTATGAAAGCAGTAGATGGGGGTCTTTAGCAAAAGTCCAGAGACCCCTCGTACTATTGAAGTGCTGCAGGCCAATCTTTGTCTTCCATTTTTTAAAAGCAGACGGTCACTGAAACAAAGTAAGAGTTTTGATTATAAAAAGAAAAAATATCTCCTGTCCAAGATAAATTATTTTTCTCTTGAGAAAGAAGGTGAAGGAGGGGAAAACAAGTTCTTTTGCCGATCTGATATTATCAGACAGCTGCTTCTGACATTTCCTCTTCTGGCCAGGTATATTCTTCCTCTTTTAAAGTTTTCTTTAACCATTTAAGATCATGAATTCTAGAAGAGGATTGATGCATTCAGTTGTACTCATCTTAGTGGCTGTTTTTAATAAAAGCACTTTCATCTGGTAGCATGTTTTGAATCTCTGCCTTGTTTTTGTTTTAAATGAATATTGCAAACAGTTGTTGAGTTAACTTAGTTGAGCTCAAGAGATCATGAAGCTGTCAACATTAGAAGGCACCTTAAGGTACTATTTCAATGGTTCTCAGCCTGTGGGTCCCCAGATGTTTTGCCCTTCAACTCCCAGAAACAGCTGGTAAACTGGCTGGGATTTCTGCCATAGGCGAAAACACTTAGGGACCCAAGGTTTAGAACCACTGTACTAAAAGGTAAAGGTTTCCCCTGACATTCAGTCTAGTCATGTCTGACTCTGGGGGATGGTGATCATCTCCATTTCTAAGCTGAAAAGCCAGCATTCTCCGTAGACACCTCCAGTTCATGTGGCCGGCATGAATGCATGGAGTGCTGTTACCTTCCCACAGAAGTGGTACCTATTGATGTATTTACATTTGTGTGTTTTCAAACTGCTAAGTTGGCGGAAGCTGGGGTAACAGTGGGAGCTCACCCTGCTCCCAGGATTCGAACCACCAACCTTTCAGTCAGCAAGTTCAGCAGCTCAGCGGTTTAACCTGCTGCACCACCAGGGGGCGCTCTGTACTATTTTGTGCAAATTGCTAACATGCATATTTCTATTTTTTCATTCATTCCAACTTGCTTTTGCAATTTTTTTTTAAAAACTTCATGCTTGTTGTTGTTTGTTTTGTAGACAGAACAGTATATTGAAGTATTTTCTGTTATCTCCAGTTTAGTTAATAGATAAAGTATGTTTAGGAAACACTTGTTTTGAGCTTCTATATGACATAGGTTTGAACAAAATAAGTTGCAAACACAAGTAAAGTTCAGATGCTACTGTGATGTAGCAGCACTGGTTTTGCAAGGATTTCCCCCATTAGCTGTTTTGTAAAGGTCAGTTGAAGTTGAAGAAAAGTGTCAGCAGGGAATGGTGGGAATTGAGAGAAAAAGTCAGATATGTAAAGGGAGACAGACTGTGTAAAATCTCTTGAAATTAGGGTCTCTATAGTGTTTCTAAGGGAAGAGAGATATAATAAGCTAATTATTGCTCCTACTGACAGTGGGTTCATTCCTCTGTTTGCACACTGATGGAAAGATGGCCCAACATATTTTAATTTAAGATCTCTACTTTCACACTGGAGACTAAAAGGTAAATGTGACTGTTTCCCCTGACATTAAGTCTTCTCATATCTGACTCTGTGGGGTGGTGCTTATCTCCATTTCTAAGACAAAGAGGCAGCATTGTCCGTAGATGCTTCCAAGGTCATGTGGCCAGCATGACTGCATGGAGTGTCATTACCTTCCCAGAGAAGTGGTACCTATTGGTACTCACATTTGCATGTTTTAAAACTGCTAGGTGGGCAGAAGCCGGGGCTAAGAGCAGGAGCTCACCTTGCTCCCCAGATTCGAACCACTGACCTTTTGGTCAGCTAGTTCAGCGGCCCCACCAGGGGCCCATTGGAGACTACCACCAGTATTTTGTTTGTTTTTACAAAGAAGCCAATTATTAGTTCTTTCCCTGTTGTGGATCTATCTCACGGTAGCTTACTTCTTAGTGTTGAAAGTGCTAGCTAAATGTGGATTGAAATGCTCAAGTCTAGCCGAGGCTTGCCTTCTTCTCTACTGTGAGCGAAAATTACTCTGCAGAAAACCACAGCATTTAAGCTTTGAGTGGGTGTGTTGGACAAAGGTTGAATTTCTAAGTGCTTCTCTAACAAAGCAATGGGTGTGGCATAAAGTCTTGACAGAGAAGAGAAAAGAGAGAATGTGTTCATATTGGTCTTATTCCTTAGAGGAAAAGTCTCTTGGGATGATTTTTTTTGTTCTTCCCAACTAGAGGAGAAAGGTAGTTACGGAGCTACTATCTTAAGAGGCCTGGTGGTTCTTTTTGTCTCCCTGATGGTTGGGAATTCCCATTAGTACAAGTTAGTTTCAACAAGTCCATCTGGCCAAACAGCACCACCAGTTTTTGGGAAATGGATCGTTTTCCATGCTTTGGGTGTGTGCTTCGACTGTCTCTCTTGAGAACACAAGAAAATCCAGTCCCTCAATGGAGCTGGTTGTATATTCACAAAGCCCACATTTTCTATTGTATTATGCATTTTCTATTCTACATGATTTAAATAAAGCCAGTATTTGAATCGAAGTGTAGATTTCTTCTCATGAAGTTTCTCCAGATCACATGAAATAATTACTTTTTTCCTGTTGTTTTTCAGCAATCTTTCTCCAATGAAGTCCATTGTGTTGAAGAAATTTTAAAGGTGAGTATACCACTGGTGATGGCATGTTTTAAGCAAGAGATTTGAGCATGCTAAACATGGAAGAATTACTTTTTCCAAGTTCTACTGTGGTCTACTAAGCGAGAATGCAGAAGTTCTTTTACTATTCCCCCAAATTTTAAAGTGTGTGCTAATCATACTGGATACAGTAAGATCCCTATAACTGTGAAACACATAATCATGATTTTTCATACCCACATTTGGAGGAAAATGGCATTTCTAGGTCCTCCATGGTTCTATAGTATTCTTTCCCAAGAAGTACTAAAAGGTTGTATTAGAATACCTAGCAAATCTGTAGGTCCTCCACCACAACTCCAAAATATGCTGGGTACAGAAATCAGGTAATTTAGTGGATATTCAGTTTTATACTTGGTTTTAAGTAGCCATAGTCTGACCAGGAACATATTGCACAAGATTACTATAGTATTGTTTTTGGAAGGTATATTTCTGGCCCATCAGTAAGAAGAATTTTAAAAGTATGCGCTAATCATACTGGATATAGTAAGATCCCTGTAACTGTGAAATGCATGATTGTGATTTTACATACCCACATTTGGAGAAAAATGGCTTCTCTAAGACTTTTCTAGGTCTTCAATGGTTCTATGGTATGCTTTCCCAAGAAGTTACTAAAGAGTTGAGTTAGAAGACCTAGCAAATCTGTAGGTCCTCCAACACAATGCTAAAGTATGCTGGGTACAGAAAACAGGTAATTTAGTGGGCATTCGGTTATATACTTGGTTTCAGACAGCCATGGTCTCACCATGAACATATTCCACAAGATTATTATATTGTTATTTTTAGAAGGCTAGCTAGCCATCCGTACGAAAAATACTGGCCTATTGGTAACAAGGATGCATGTTACAAATGGAAGCAGCAAAACATTAGCAAAATTGGTGGTAGAAGAAAGTATTCAGCCCCTAAGGGATTCAGAGGTACAAATATATCTAGTATACTGGCAGTAGACAACTTAGTGTTGGTTTGTCTTGTCAAGCTTTTGATGATTACCAAACCTAGTTTATTGAAGATGACACAAGCCAGGAACCCAGGTCTCAATATAACAGTAAATTTCTGTTGCTACTATATTACTGGTTATTGTAGCTGCTTTCAGAAGATGTTAAGAAAGAGTAACTAGGAAGTGAACAGCAGCACGCCTGTTCATTATTAATTAACCAAAATTCTCAGCAATTCTGGTATGTTGTTCTATGCAATATAGAAACCATGCCACTACTACCCAAGGAATATTTCAGTGTTAGAAGGCAGAATGGTATAGTCTTTTGAGTGCTGGACTTGGATTCTGGAGACCAAAGTTTGAATCCCTACTAAGCCATGGAAACCTACTGGGTGACCTTAGGCAAAGCATACCTTTCCAAGAATTTCGAAGTCCTGCAAGGCAACTTGAAGATATGCTGGGACCAAAATTTTAATGAGGTTGTATCCTCTGTTGTAGGCAACCATGGTCTGGTTAGGAACATATCCCAGTCAGATGTAGGGATCTTACTGTATTCCAATGATAGTTGCAAGAATAATCAGGCATTGGGGAGCAAAACCAGGTCACAGTTTTCCCACGATGTGCAATATCCTTTGAAGCCTCTGTGGTAAGTCCGACAGGAAGCGAAGACCAGAACCTGACCTTCTATTTTCCTTCCCTAGGAAATGACCCATTCATGGCCACCTCTGTTGACAGCCATCCATACACCTAGCACAGCTGAGCCATCAAAGTTTCCCTTTCCTGCAAAGGTATTTTTGTTTTAATTGCTCCTTCTTTGCTTAGAACTAATTAATTAAGATATATGCCTTTCTGATATTTCCATTTTCAGAATGGAAAAAACTCCATACCATTATGACAGTGAAGAATATTGTTTCCATGGGAATTGAGAGCACCTTTTAGTTCTGACTTGATATGTTTGGGTCTCTAGATGTGTGTGTCTCTCATATTCTACTCTTCATGTTTCTGTACAATTTGCATACAACTTAAGTTACATTTAAAAAGCATGTGGTTTATTTCAAAGGAGGTTAGAAGGTGTGGAAAGAGAATTTCCTCAGGACAGAAAGATTTTTCCTTTACACCATGAAAGTAGATTTTATACTGTCGTGAGGTAGATGAATATAATAATAACTTAGCAGGAAACCACCATTTCTGTATAATGTTTGGAGATCTTCCACAATAACTCCATTACATCACTTTATTTCATTATTCCAGAATCATTCTATCCATCCCACTTTGCTAGCTCTTATGCCTAGAATTGATTGACAGAATATTGCTTGATCTCTTTTTCCTTATGTGTATGTGCAGTCAACTTATGGTGACCCCATACATTTCAGAGGCTTTTTAAAAGCAAGGAATACCCCCAGAGGTGGGTTTGCTAGTTCTGTCCTCTGAAATATAGCTAGAGCACCCTTAAAATTCCTTTTCAATATTCATTTTTTTAATTACAGCTGCAATGGGCATGTCAAGGGGAGTGTAGGGTCAATTTTCAGCCATGTGTCCAAAATTGGCTGAATATGGAATCATAGAACGACAGTATAAAGTTTGAATAGACCACAAGTACATCCAATCCAACCCAGGACCACCCAGTCTAGCTATTTTATTGGCTAAAATGGAAGCAAAAAGTCAATGAAGTATTGAGATGTAATATTAGCAAGAAAAATATTTCTCAAACTTTTGAAAGGTAATCTGGGGCCTTGGGGAGTTGTACAAGGGCTTTAGATATCTTACTTTGGAGCTTCACAGGCTTCACTTTGCCCATCTCTATATTAGAGCCTTTAACAAAGCCTTTTAGTCCATTCCCCCAGCAACAGCAAGACTATCCCTCTGGGCAGCTAAACCAGGAAATCCCAATTGGATGGTCCCCCACAATGTTCTGCCTCCAGGGGCAAATCAAGAATAGGCAGCTTGGAAGTCCCCAAACAGACTCTGAAGTGGAGTGAGCAGATCAAAATAGAACCTGGCAAAATGGCACTGCCTGGAAGAATCATCCACCTTGTGTGACTGTGGAGCAAAACAAACAACTCTGCATCTGTATGCTTGTCCACAATGCCCTGCCTCTTGTACAGAGGAAGAATTGTTTAAAGCTACAGACAATGCAGTCACTGTTGCCTGTTTTTGGTCAAAAAATATTTTGCCACTTGTGCTCCTTCTATTTTTATCAGTTTTATACTTATTTATGCAATGTTTTGTATTAACTACTATTTTCATAGAAGCTCAACTTAAGGGTGAGTGTTATTAATCTTACAAATAAAATAAATAAGAAGAACTGTGTGTGGCCAAAATAATGTCTGTTCACTCATGTTTCCATCTCCTTTGCCTTCTTCTAGTGTTTCTTCTGTATGGGATTTTAGATTTCAAGCTCCTTGGAGCAGGGACCTTTGTATTTTGTCTTTAAAATGTGACAGTCTAGTACAAGTTAAGCATCCCTTTTCCAAAATGCTTGGAACCAGAGGTTTTTAGGATTTTGGATTTTGATATATCAATATTTGTATACATGTACATAATGAGATATCTTAGAGATGGGACCCGAGTCTAAACACAAAATCCATTTATGTTTAATATCTACTCTATACACTGAGACCGAGACTTATACATTTTTAATAATAGGTGCATGAAATGAAGTTTGTTTACACTAACCATTAGAAAACCAAGAAGCCACTGTCTCAGCCAACTACACAAACAATTTCAAATTTTAGCATTCTGAGCATTGGGGGTGCTCAATCTGTATAAATAATGGAAAAATGCTTGCAATAACCTTCTTAAGGCAAGCCGGCATTAGTAAACATGTACTGGAGATGGGAATCCTGAAACTGAAAAGTACTGGGCTAATAAAGTGCATCTGGTGAATTCTTGGTGAAGTTTCAGCCTGCTAATACAAAACACATAAATCTTCATTTGTTTCCTTATTTCTAGGAAACCCAGCATGGTGGATCAGGAATACAGAGCCAGAGTAAGTAAGAAGAAAGATGCCTAACTCCTCAAATGTTGTTTTATGCGTCTTCACATTGTGCATTCATTTAAGCAGAGACTACACATAAATTCCCATTCAAGTTACACTCAAATGAAAGCTGGCAATGTAGTAGCAGTACCTAGTGGTTCCAGTTCAGCATGTGTGAAAGAGATGCTGTAGCCTTTTCTGAAATTATTTATTCATAAATTTCCAGATTGGAAATTTGCAAATATACCAAATGAGATTATTCATGGCATTGGAAAAGGGGCCTTGCAGACTGTCTAGTCCAATTCCAGGTCAACTAGAATTTCCCCCGCAGACAGCCACCATCCAGTGGGGCAAAGCCACCCACCTCTCTGGAATAGAGATGAGAATTATGTAGTTCTCCTTCTGCTGCTCTATGGTATCTCCTAGCAGCCTTAGCCAGTGGTATGGAATCAAATGTCTGGAAACCAAGCCCTTATGATGAATGATTTAGGGAGCTTTGCATGTTTAGCTTGGAGAAGAGATAACTGAGACCTGTCTTTAAATATCTGAAGGGATGCCATATAGAAGATGGAATGAGCTTGTTTTTCTTGGGAAGGCTCATGAGAGACAACCCATTTTAGGCAAGCATCTTAGAATCAAAGTTGGAAGAGACCCTAAGGACCATCCAGTCCAACCTCCTGCCATGCAGGAAAATACAATCAAAGCTCTCCAGACCGATGGCCACCCAACCCCTGCTTAAAAACCTCCAGAGATGGAGACTCTACCACAATCCAGAGCAGCATTTTCCACTGCCAGGACACTTTTTCCAAATGTTTTGGTACAATCTTAGGATGGTGACTTTTGGAAGAACCAAACTCTGAGCAGAAAAATAAGTTGTAAATCCTCAACAGGAAGAACATTAAGGATGCTATTGCTATTCCATACCAATAATCTGATTCTTTCTAAACTTATCTAAAAGAGAAAAGGATGGAAAGGAGTCATGTTGCCCCATGTCCTCCCCATTGAAGATCAGACAGGAAGAGAGTGGAAGGGTTTAGTCCACTAGTACCCAACCTTTTTTTTTTTTAACCAGGGACTACTTTGATTGGGAACCACTTGACGAAGGACCACTTTGTAATAACAAAATGCAAGTTGTAAACTGTTATCAACACAGAGCTATGTTAACATTAACTGTGTAAACTGGTTTAAACTGCACATAAATACAACGAAGAAAATGCATAGGGTATAAGTCTAAATGCTACTCAGTAATTTCCACTCTTTTGTGAGTGAAGATACTCAGTGCCGTCACAAGTAAAAGGAATATATCATTTGGAAGAGTGAATTTATAACTCTTAAGCCTTGAGAAAACTCTAGAAGGAAATTACTGAGTAGCATTTAGACTTATACTCTATGCATTTTCTTTGTTGTATTTATCTGCAGTTTAAACCAATTTACACAGTTAATGTTAACATAGCTCTGTGTTGATAACAGTTTACAACTTGTGTTTTGTTGAGGGACCACTTTGACTAGGGACCACTTGAGCAGGGATGACTCTCCAACATTAGAACCAAAAGGGTTATGAATCATTTTTTGGTCAACTTTAGATTCGGTTTGGTTATTTGAGGTGCTGATTCAGAAAATTGCATTGGATAGACCACATCAGCTCTAGTTTCTGATACAGAACTTGTGCCATCCAGTAGTCACCATCTGCTTGCCCACAGAAAACCATATTTAATAAATAATCTAGAGCTGATGTGATAGTTGCAGTCTTTCATGGGTCGTCAGCCTCTCCCCTCCCAATATCCCCATTGACTCAGCACTATAAGAGGGTTTCGCAAGATCATTTGCTCTTGAGGCTGTGTGGTTTCAAGGCAATGGATCACAGGTTGGGAACCACTGGTCTAGTCTGAGCAGGCTTGCCAGGCATCCTGGATTTTAAGGGAAAGTCCCTTATTTTAGGGAAATGATCTGCATCCCAAGGGATAACTGCCCAAGGGATAACTGGGACCTTGGCCAATGAGGCCTTGGCCAATGAGGGCATCGCCCCCCCACCCCCAATCTGAGCTCCTCCTTCTCCTCCAATTCAGCAATTGACGTCTCTCCACCCCCTCCTTGGAGTCTTTAGGCTTCTCTGCCAAAGAGTGCTGGTGCCTCAACAAACTACAGATCACAAGATTCCAAAGCATTGAGCCATGGCCGTTAAAGTGGTGTCAACCTCATTACATTTTTAATGTAGATGCACCCTATGATTTCCATCACTGAACTATCCTTATTTGGTAGAGGTTGCTCCTAACTGTCGTAAGATATCTGTCCTGCTACATCTCAAACCCATTAAATATATTATCTCCTCAAGATTTAGGACGTGTCTTTGCCCTCTTTTCTGTGATGGCTCTTGAAGGATTTGTTTTCGTTTCCTTCTTGAGTTTTCCCTTCTCCAAACTAAAAATAACCATTTCCTTCAAACTCTCCTCACAGAATGTATTTTCCATTCCTGTTTGTCCGCATTCTTCTTGAAGTGCAGTGCAAGGAACTCCAGATGAGAGCTGGCTGGTGTAGAATAATGTGGAGCTATTGCTTCCTGTGGAGAATCACTGTGATTCATTCAGCAAAGCCTGAAATCACGTTAATCTCCCTGCTCCCCAACTGTATCACACTATTAATCGATATCCTTGAGCCCCTATTTGTGAGTAAATTCATCCATAAAAACAAGACAGAATTAAACTGGATATCTTCTGGCTGAAGTGTAGCTCTCTTTCTTTGTAGCTTTACATGTTGTTAGTTTTGGCCCAGTTCTCCATTCTGTCAAGGTCATTTTGCATTTTATCCCCTTCTTGTTTATTTAGTGACTTTTATATCCTCACCTTTCTCCCAGTAGCATACATGATTCTTCTCAACTTCATTTATTCTCACAGCAACTTTGAGAATAAATCAGATGGAGAGAAAAAAATTACTGGTCCAGATTTGGGCAGTTTGGTAAATGGAGAAGCCTGATCTCCTACATCTAACAGTCTTACCACTACACTACACTATCCATCAATCTTATGAGATAGTAGGTAGTCCTTTCAATTTGGGAGGAACACACTCAAAGTATATGGATTCTTCTGTTAATTCCAACTAGACTAAAGCTATTAAATCAATGAGATTTAATCATATGTTGATTCAGCATTCAACAGTTAATTCAATTGCTCTACTATATTTGGAACTAACCAGTAGAGTTAGTAAAACATCTCAGTCTTGCATGAATGTAGGTTCAGGCAGTTGATCTGCATCCTAAACTTCATGGCATGTTTATTCAACCTGTGGCCTTCTAAATATTGTTGATATCTAATATTATTCAGTTGATTATGGTACAAGCATAATCTCTTACTGTTCATAGTGCCTAAAATGTTTCTTTTTTTTAACAGAGCAATATGATGCACCTTCTAAGAGTGTTTCTACTTCTCAGCAAACACCATCGTAAGTCAATGCACTATTTTTTTCTGAGTATTTGAAGGCCTGTCATGGTTACAACTTTCTTTGTGCTATAAATAGATCCAATTAACAGGTGAAGACATCTGGCATAAGGCTTTCAAGAGCTAGGGTCAGAGGATAGACTGTTGTGTTAGATAGATCTGGTATTGGTTAGATTGGTGTTTCTCAAACTCTGCTCTGCCATGTGTTTTGGACTTTTGCTCCCAGAAATCCCAACCAGTTTACCAGCTGTTAGGAATTGTGGGAGCTGAGGTCTAAAACGCCTGGAGGAGCAGAGCTTGAGAAACACTGGGTTAAATCATGGTAGAATGTTGAATTAAAGAGATCTGTTGTGGATTACTTTGGATTAGATAAATCTGGTATAAATTAGATTGAATTATAATATTGGGTTAGAAATATCTGATATGGGATTAGAGTGTTGGATTAGAATATTTTTTTTTATCAGGGACCACTTGAACAGAAACCATTTTGACCAGGGATCACACTCCAACATTATTATCAAATCAGTTTTTGGTCAACTTTAGATTTGGTTTGGTTATTTGGGGTGCTGATTCAGAAAATTGCATTGGATAGACCACGTCATCTTTAGTTTCTGATACAGAGCATATGCCATCCAGTAGTTGCCATCTGCTTGCCCACAGAAACCCATATTTAATAAAATCTAGAGGTGATGTGGTCTATCCAATGCAATTTCCTGAATCAGCATCCCAAATAACCCTAGGAATAGATCTAAACACAAAGATACCAAGAAAAATTTTTTTTTTTGGTTGGGCGGTGTTATTATCTGTGGATTTTGTTAATGCTCATGTTAAAAAAAAGAAGAGGTTAAAAAATACAAAAAGCAGAGCTCGAGACCCAATAAACTGTTCCTAATGGCTTCAACAACAACAACAACAACAACAGGGGACTAAACAGGGTTTTACAAAGGGCTACTTTCCCATTACAACCCTTGTGCTTGGCAATGAAAGCTAACAACAATAGCAGCAGCAGCAGCAGCAGCTTTGGGGGATTCTCCTCTCTTTCGCTCTTCTCCAACGGCACCATTGAAGCTGCAAGAGGTCTTCCTTCCTTCTCTTCCTCTTCTTCTCTCTCGCGCTCCTCCAACGATGGCACGCACCCTTGGCCATGGACCTTATTTTAGGTCTCGTGGCCCACTGGTTGGGAACCACTGGATTAGATAGGTCTTCCCTAGTGTTTGCTTAGACTGACACCAAAAGAACTTAAGTATGTTTGTTTGTCTTCATCTGAAAGCAAAAAGAGAGAAGGCAGTGGTTGGCATCAGTTCCTGAGGGTCTTGGAATTGCAGGATTTGAGATTATGATTTTGACTGGCAAGTCAAGGGCTAGGATTTAAATAGGATTTAAGCTCTGCTTTATCAGAGTTGTTCCTAAGTTTCTGAGACACCATCATGTTTTTTTCTAGATGAAGGGTTCCTACTGAGATAATTACACAGATGTTTTTGAGATCTAGCTGCTTTGCTAGCTGGTCTCCATACTGAACTTGGCCACAACTCAAGAAATATGCATCCAGCTGCACATGGCCAGTGGGGCCTAAGGCTTATCCCCAGATGGTGTCACCCTTTCTCACCCTTTCTCATGAGAATGTACACGTGCTTCTTAAATTGAAAAAAAAACAACTAAAGAAATGAGAATCCTGCCTGGCAAAGTTGGATCCATGTGCTAACTTACAATTCACAGACATCCCACAAATCTCACAGCAATGTCTGAAAATTGGACTGATGCAAAGGCTCAGCTTGCTACTCTTTTTACCAAACTCTGCCAAATTGCTCTTTCTCCTTAGAGTTCAGCATGATATTTTCTGTTTCATTTTGTAGTTACAAAAAGGTTAAGAAAAAAAGTGAAAAAAGTTAGTAACACATTATCTTCTTAAAGATTAAAATCTTTGGCAAGGCTTTGGGTTTTGTGTTAGATGCAGGGTTTGTCTTGCCTGGTTGCTCTAAAGAGGTGCATGCAGGAAATCCTCATATTTTATCTCTGTGGTTAAGTGTTTTGTATGAGTTGCTACACTCTTTCTAGGTATCTTCATTGTGCTAGAGATAGTAATGCCCAAAACTAGTGAGAATAGATTAAGGTACATCTGATGGATTGCCAACAAAACCAGAAATTGTTATTTCTTCTTTTAAGTCTCTGAAATGCTCCAATCCTGAACTTGTGTTCTTTGTAGCATCTTTCTAGCTGCCAAGAAAGGATAGCTATATAACACCATAGAATTGATAGAAAGCTCCAAGTTTCATTCACTGAGAAAAGAGATGGGATAGGATGTCTAGATATTTTGGCCGTGTGAGCAATAACTATCAGCGAACGTCAAACCTGTAAATGTGGAGGGCCGACTGTACTTTCATGACAAACATTGTTTATGTTTCTAGGGTTGTTCAGACTAAGTATGCATAGACATAAAACCAAGCATTCCTATTTTTTTAAAATACTAGCTTTTAGTGGTACATTGCATATGGATACATACCGCATCTATTATAAATTCATATTGTACCTCTGTATTAATCCAGGCAATCCTCTTTATATATTTTTAACAATAGACCTGATCAAATAAGTCTTTAACCAAGAGGAAAAAAGCTATTATATTTACAAACCATATGTATTCTTACATATTTTGTCATCCTTTCATGTTGCTTGTTGATTTATAATGACATCATGAATTTCATTGGGTTTTCTTAGACAAGGAATATTCAGAAGTGGTTTTGTAGCACCTTGTTTTGAAATAAAGTCTACAGCACCTGATATTCAATGGGGGTCTTCTATCCAAGGACTAACTAACCAAAAGTGACTCTGTTTAGCTTCCAAGATCAGATAGGATCTAGTACCTTTAGGGTAGCTAGGCCCTTTTATATAGTTTGGCTTGTTCCAGATTCTAATAAGAGTGTGCTCACATGCCACTGATGTTTTTTGAATCCATTCCTTTCTCTCATCTGAAACATTTATAGCCTTTTCATTCATATCACAAGCTTACTCATTCTTAATGCATACCATACTGTCTTTTGCTATGCTTCTGTTGTAAATATTTTCTGCTACTTTCAGTACACTTTCACTTATTTATCTTTTTGAGCTGAATTGGTCTTTGAAAGCAATAATCTTGATTCTGTGTAAACAAGCGCTATTCATAAATTTGTTTTTAGAATGTGTGTGACTGATGCTTACAAATGTGTGGAAGATTGTATCATCCTGTATGAGCCTGCCCAATTTTAAGATCTTTAGGCTTTCTCTTGGTCCCGCCAACATCACAGATTATAGAATTCCCTTCCCCAACACACATTTTGGTGCCTCAGATCTATTTCTGGGTTTGTTTGACCAGCTGATTCCAAGAATGACATAGTTTTTTTCCCCTATCTGAAACATTTATAGTCTTTTTTTGAGATACAGTTTTTGAGATACAGAACATATGCCATCTACCAGTCACCATCTGCTTGCCCTTAGAAAATCATAACCACATGTAAGAAACGAGAGCAGATGCGGTCTGTCTAATACAATTTTATGAATCAGCACCCCAAATAACTCCAGGAACAGGCCTAAAAACCAAGACACCAAGTTTTTTTTGTTATTGTGCTGTGAATGTAGTGTTTTAATTACAAGCAGTCCCCGAGTTACAAACATCCACTTTACATAATTAAGTAAGGGGGTGAGACAGCAGAAAGTGAGAGAAATCTCTTCCTTGGAATGAAGGAAAACCCATTCCTGGAAGAGTTATTATCATAGGGAAAAGTTGACTCCACTGAAGCTTTCTCATCAATCCTTGTTTCCGCAACAAGCCAAATTTTCCAAAATCCAATTATCACAGGGACAGAAAGTGAGGTGAAATCTTCTGAACAGGAGCACAGGCAGCAAAAAAATTAAAAAAAATTACAGGGGTGTTAACCCTTCCCCATGCTATCCAAAGCTAAAGGATATATTTGTTTGGCTGGAGTTACAATTAAAAATGTACCTGTTCTGGTTTACATTCACATTCAGCTTAAGAACCTAGAGAACCTATCTTGTCCATATCTTGTGAACTGCCTGCATGTTGTGGCATCGAATTGCTGCCAATTTGTAAGCTGCCATGAGCTGCCCTTGAGCTGAGAAAGGCAGGATAAAAAATGCCACAAATAAATAAATACTATATCATGTTTTCAAAACATTGTAGGACACATGGGGTCCTACATAATGAGAAAGGCAAGATATACAGTAAGACCCCCGGTTTCAACCACATTTCCATGAAACTGGGGATATGACAGAATGCCGTTGAATATTTTCACTTCTGGTCTCAGCATATCATAGGAATTCATTGGAGCACTAAGAGATTTCTGGAGAGGAATCCTTTTTAGGAACTTGCTAGGTCTTCCAGTGCAACTCTCCAGTAATATACAAGAGTTCCATGATTATGGATTGATTGAATACATACATATAATATGATAAATCATCTAGGTTAGACAAAAAATAGGAGCTGTTAAAACTCTAGCTACTGAGGTACACTCTCCCATATCCTTCTCAGTTGTATCTATGATGGTGGTGGACCAACAGAATCATAGAATCATAGAGTTGGAAGAGACCTCGTGGGCCATCCAGTCCAACTTCCTGCCAAAAAGCAGGAAAATGGCATTCAGAGCATCTCAGATAGAACACCTTCCCCAGGTCTGTTTCCTGCTGCCCCAAAGGGTAGGACCAGGCCTAATAGCTTTCAGTTACAGGAATGTACATTTTTGACAGTAAACTTGGATTGCAACTGCTATAACTCCCAGCCAAAATAGCAAGTAGTCATGGATTGTGAAATTTATTGTCCAGAGCATTTGAAAAGCTACCAAATAGTTTATTCTGCCATAAAAGCTTGGAAGCAGGTTGTTGGAAGATAAAGTAAAGACTGAAGCTACATTGGAAGCTGGAGTGAGACATTTAGGACAGTATTTATTTTATGAGTCATTGAATCTTGAACCCTTCCAGGTCTTCTCTATTCCTTCAGAATTCTCTTAGCATAGAATT